GCTGCGGCGACGGCGAACGAGCAGCGACGCAGCGGGCGCCGTCGCGTTCTTCGGGTGCTTCTTCTTGCTCTCGAGGTTCGATAAGCGGGGCGTCCGCTTGTAGGCACTCCGAAGCACCGGACGGCAGCAGAAGCAGTAGAAGTAGCGACGGCAGCAGTATTCGGCGAGAATATGTAAAAAAGAGACGAAGACGTCCCGAAACAGCGGGAGCACAAGGAAGAGGAGATAGAGCCGAAGGTGGCTTTGTTGGTAGTGACGGAGCGCATGGCAGCGGGGTGGTGGACGGGGTTGGGGTGGTGCTTGTGGGTGAAGGCGAGAGGCTATCTAGCACTGAAGAGAGGTCAGTTGGCCGGGCAAGTAGACTAAAGGACGACGTGGGAGTTCTCCCACCGAAGAAGAAACGGCGGAAGCACGGGACGGCTGGTGGCAATGCCGGCAACGGTGGACTGGCGGCGATTGCAAGCTTGTATTGATTTTTTTGGGGGGGTGCGGGTGCACGCATCGTATGTGCAAGGGAGAAAGTTCCGGCGCCCTTGGGTTCTTCGCAAAAATGAAAAATCTATTTCTACCGCAACTGTAGTATCACCATTGAGCGTAGACAGACAGCTCCGCCGTGTAGCGCTCTGCTTCGTATGACATGACAGCTGTACCGCCCTTTGCGTAGCCGGGCTAATTGGTGCCTGAATTTTTTGCAGCCTTGAACGTGTGGAGATGGTTTGGTCATGCCGGGGGTGGGGGCCTACTCAACCGAGAAAAACTACTTACCTGCATCCAGTTGCGTTGGCATCTTTGTGTTGCGAGTTGGACGGGTGTATGCACGCACGCGGTGTTTGTCGGTGGATTCTGGACCTGTACCAAACAGGCTACTCATTCGTAGACACGCGTGCAGACCTGCATGTCTGTTTCGAGTGCTTTTCCACCTTGTGCCCTGCGTGTGGAATGATCGACGCGAGTGCCCGCGGTACCGTGTAGAATTGCCAAGCCGGGTTGTTTGCGTTTACGTGGACAGGCCTCTTCATGTTGTTGGTCACGCGGATAATCCTTCTTGGCTCGGTGCAAAATGGACAATAGGTAGGCCGAGGGGCGACTCGAGCAGAGTGTCGTGATCGCTCAGCATTTGATGGAATCGAAGAAGAAGAACGATACCTCACCTTCTGCCCGTCTTGATGGTATCCGGGTGGCAGAAGCCTGTAGTTGGCTGCCAAGATCGCTTTCTTTTTCCCGCTGACACGACGGACACGTGAACGATATTCATCTGCACCAAACCAATCGATTTGGTTCTCCCACCTTCGTCTGTAAAAGTTCAGGCTCTACCTCGATTGTTCTGTGCTTCAAGTCTACAACCAATCACTCACCCAACTCACCCAATTAACATGGCAATTCTTAGCCGTGTATGCAAGACATGCAGCGATACATGCCATCTTGTTGAAGGAAGTCTCAGTTGTTCCCAAACCACGTAACTCCCCTGCCTCTGCGCGCGCCAAGTGCAGCGGAAAGAACGACTACGACCGCATGTTGGCGGCTCTCCCTGGTACCAAAGGTAGCGCGCTCCCTGTCGCAAGAGGTGCCTCTGGGCAAGGCATGGACCCAACCATACGTTGGCCTGTTTCACACAGTGACCTTCTCCATCTGCAATGCTACTTAGAAACTGAATCCGACCGGTGGCTGCAGATATATCGTGAACAAGGGGGTTCCGCAGCATGGAAGCAGTAATCGTCTCGAACCTCCGTCCACACCGCTCCAATTGATCTCAAACTTTTTGCGTCGTGTCTGCACGGTCCATGCCGTTCTTCTAAGCTATTGGACACTCCCATCCGGTATCCTCCCGCAGAGATACGGTCAACAGAGGGGTTTCCGCAGCATCTAGGAGGAGTAAATGGCAATTGCCCCACTATGTCTCCCGTCACAATCGGCCCGCATCGTGTTGGCACGGCTCACAGCTATCATTCAAGCCGTCATTCACCCCAATCGGACCAGTGGGTGCAGAGAAATGCCCACACGCGGGGCTTCAGTGGATCAACGGTCGGTGAAGCAGATAAGCTTATCTGCTCCACCAGGCCAAACTCTATGTGAAGGGTGCCGTTTGCCCTACCAAGGCTTGCATTGTGTCGGCACGGCTCACAGCTCTCATTCAAGCCATTGGACACGCCAATCAGACCAGTGGGTGCATAGAAACGCCCACCCACGGGGCCTCAGTGGCTCAAGGGCCGGTGGAGCAGATAAGCTTAGCTGCTCCACCAGGCCAAACTCTATATAAACGCTGCCGTTTGCCCTACTAAGGCTTGTATTGCGTCGGCACGGCTCACAGGTATCATTCAAGCAACCGGACGCCCCGATCGGACCAGTGGGTGCATATAAACGCCCACCCACGGGGGCTCAGGGGCTCAAGGGCCGGTGGAGCAGATAAGCTCAACTGCTCCACCCGGCCAAACTCTATGTAAAGGGCGCTGTTTGTCTTACGTTCGGGTAAAGTTGGAACGTACGTGTCTGACTCGCTTCACGAAGCCGGCGACGGGGCCATTGGGGAAGCAGTTGGGTGAATACACTCGTTCGATACAAAAACCAAATTGATTTACTGGACTATCGAATTGCATTGCCGATCTAATTTAGTTATTCTGTTTCACTCTTTTCGTTTGTTCTCAGGGGAAGGCCAAACTAAGGCTCGGTGACTGGTCGGATGATCAATGCCCTTACTGGTAGGAGAAAAGGATAGACTTCGAGGACATGGACGACAACAACGAGCCCAGTTCGTACGCGTACGACACGGACAACATGTACAGTGTGCTGGAGACGGGCGAGGAGGACGACCCCGAGGAGCACACGAGCGCGGAGGATGACCCTCAGGAGCACGTGGGCGCGGAGGACAGACCCCTGGAGCACGACGAACCCCGGGGGCGCGCGGACAAGGAGGACGACCCCCAGGATCACTACAGGACGACCTCCAGGAGCACGTACAGGACGACCCCCAGGAGCACGCGAGCGCGGAGGTCGACTCCCACGAGCACGCGAGTGCGGAGGACGGTCCCCAAGATGACCCCCATGTTGACGAGGAGGACGAATGGTGCCCTGCATTTCCGCTGCACCAAAAACATCCGCTGAAGACTGTCCCGAGCGAAGTCGATGAGGTCAGTTGAATTGACCCTTGGTTGCCGTATGGGACAGAGGCTTGGGTAGAGATACCGTATCAAACACACACGGCAGAATAGTGCCGGTTTTGCACTGCAAATACCCCAACATGCACCTTCAACGTTGGGACTTGTGTTAGAGGGGTCCTTTCTTTTCGGAAGCTCCCTTTTGTGCTTTCCATTGCCCACACTCCCTTGAACAGTGGTTCTGCGACGAGCGCAGGGAGAAGAGAGGGGAGGCAGCGCCGGTGCAGCCGATAAACGTGGACGGACCGGGGTCGACCCAACCGCAGAAGCAGCCGATGAACGTGGATGGGCCGACGGAGTCAACCCAGCAGCAGCATCCGCAGCTGATGGACGCGAATGGGCCGACAGAGTCGACACAACCACAGCAGCAGCAAGAGCAGACAGTGGACGTGGACGGGCCGACGGAACGGGCTCCCGTGTCGACAGTAGCGAAGGCCAGCACGGCCAGCAAAAGGAAAGGGCGGACTGCATCGAATAGGGCAACCAAATCGGGCAAGACCGCGGCTAATTCGACGCCTGGGGGCGTGGCGGTTCCCCAGGTACGCAACAAACGGCGGCAGAAGGTGGTCTATTCGACGTAGTATGCTCGCGTGCTTGAACAGCATTGGGATTACACTGTTGCCGCATGTATGGAGAACAGCAGGGAGAAAGCCGACCGAAAAGCGGAAGAGTTCGAGGGCACGTGTCCCCGTGCGAAAAACGAGCCGCCCTACTCAATCGCATCGATCCCTCATTGCCAAGCTACTCACTGAAGGGTTGTGTGACGATGGCTCAGATAGTATCGAGATCTTGGACGGAGTGCTTTTCAAGCGTTCCGCCCTCGAGATACTCGAGCCCTAGACTACTAGAAGTACAACTGGGAGTACATATTCGATCCGCTGAGCATCGGGGTGGTTTTGGGGGAGACCACGGTTGAAATCGAGAACGAGTTGCGCGTGGTACAATCGTTCGATCATGGCAAGTACACCCTGGTGGATGGGACTGAAATCACTCAGTGGGGGCTCCTCCAAGACCGGAAAGACTGTTGGAAACTCCTTGAATTCTGGGGAAAAGATATTGTATTGTTGAGACCTTAGGTTGAGAGGCAGGTTAGCAGAGTGGAGTGGGCGAGGGTGGCGAGCACCGCAGCACCGCAGCACCATCCAAGTCGCTCGACCAAAACACAAAAGCACAAGGCAATACCGGACACAATAATATCGGAAAACAAAGACTCAACAGGGGCTAACGTACTTCACAACGTACCATGAATCCTCTGGCTGATGCACTATCCTGATGCACTATCCTCAAAGCACACACTCAGGGCAATGCACCATCCACAAAGAACATTCCTACAGAACGTTCCTCGCTGTTCTGATAATATGTGGCTACTCAGCGATCTGCAACGCCGACAGTCCCGCAATTCAAAATATCCAATCAAAGTGCTACGATAATTACGCTGTCAACACACACAGCAGCAACTATCAAGAACACCCTCCCTTGGAGCTGTTGTCTCGAACAGATGAAATACATGTATACATCAGAAAAACACAACAAAAAATAATACCCGACTCAAACCTCTACTTCACAGATCTCGAGCCTAGAGCAAAACTAGGGTTAAGGATTAGCCCCCCGCCCCCCAATGGGGCTGGGGACCAACATCCAGGACGGATGGTGGTGAGTGTCCGGGAGGAAGGAAAGAAGGAGAAGAGGTGGAGAGGATTTGTAGGGGCGGGAAGAAGGGACGGTGTTGGGAGAGGCAAGGAGGAATGGATGAAGAATTCCGGCACTCGACGAGCGCGCGGTCCCGTCGGGGGTGAAAGGGACATGCCACTCCGTAGTCTTGCCTGTCGGTAATCGACAAGCCGAAAAATGGAGGTATACATTGTGTACATAACGATGGAGAAGGCGGACGAGGAAGGTACGAATATAGGAAATTGCACCCCAAGTTCGAAGTCGGTGTGAAAATCCGCCGCAAGGAAGGAGTGCGAAGGGAACAAAAAACGGAGACGTCGACGTTTGCGTCGTGGGACGATCCTTCCTAATAACGCAGGTACTCACGAATGCCAGACGGGGAGGTAACATACCCATGGTGAAAGTCAAAGCGCAGGTCATAACTGCATATGACTCATGCGTGAAGTCAACACGGAGACTTATCAACAAGAAATTTGAAGGCCTGCTAAGAAGTTTTGAAGACGCAAACACTTGAGCGACGATGGCAAGCGCAACGAACGGCAAAATTTCACGAGAAGAACAATGCATGCAATACGTAAAAAGAAAAGGCCGGATGCTGACCTATGGCTCTCTCGGAATGAAGGGATTCCCAGAATTTGCAACAGGTTATCCACAAGTATCAAGGAGGTCGACGACGATCAATGAAACACATGTGGTGTTCGTGTGTGCATGAGCGGATGAGAATATTCCAACGGGACCGTAGGAAGTGGCTACGCAGATAGGAATTGATAGTCCCCTGGGTTGCTTTCATGGTTGATCCACGGGGCTCGGATCTACGGGAGTGCTTGCTGTGTCGCGGCACTCTCTCCCTCTCCCGCCGCGTCCTGATCGTGTCTGCTGTCCTAAATACAAGTGATGCCATCACCTTCAACACACATACATACATGGGTATACTAATACTCTAGAGTGAGTGTATCCCTCGAGAGAACCCGTGGTGGAGATAATGGCGCCGATGTTGCAGCAGAGACTGCCGACGTCACCGCTAGTACGCAGGGCAGAGTTGACAACCTGGAGAGCAAAGTTTCAGGCCTGACGGACGACGTACAGCAGCTGGCAGGGCCTTTCCGAGCCGCCCTCGGAAAGTTAAAGCAGGAGAGGGAGTCCGGCGGCGCGGGGGTGGGCGCTGTCGTTACGGGCGCTACGTCTGCCCGCGGTCTGCTAAAAGAGGGGCCGCACAACGACGTAATCACGCCGCCCGCACAGCACGGGGGAAGAAGCACCAGACCGGGAGCCNGCCATCACCTTCAACACACATACATACATGGGTATACTAATACTCTAGAGTGAGTGTATCCCTCGAGAGAACCCGTGGTGGAGATAATGGCGCCGATGTTGCAGCAGAGACTGCCGACGTCACCGCTAGTACGCAGGGCAGAGTTGACAACCTGGAGAGCAAAGTTTCAGGCCTGACGGACGACGTACAGCAGCTGGCAGGGCCTTTCCGAGCCGCCCTCGGAAAGTTAAAGCAGGAGAGGGAGTCCGGCGGCGCGGGGGTGGGCGCTGTCGTTACGGGCGCTACGTCTGCCCGCGGTCTGCTAAAAGAGGGGCCGCACAACGACGTAATCACGCCGCCCGCACAGCACGGGGGAAGAAGCACCAGACCGGGAGCCAGCCTGGTAGTGCCAAGGATCCCTGCTGGAGTGGACCCGGGCATAGGACCGGGCAGCGGGGACGTCAGGGGGTCATCATCCCAAGAGAAGCCTGCAGCGGTGGGCGCTTGCATAGACTACACGGGTGCAGAAGAGATCACCAGCAGAAGGTCGGTTGCGGAAGGCGAACCGTTGTGGGCATTTCAGGTCCCTGCTACCGGTGGGTTTGGTAGATTCCAGAACACCGAATACCTCTACAAGGTAGGTAGCGCTGGTGATGCAGCCGCCGCTCGAGGCACTGGCCTACGAGTCAGAGCAACGTACTCATCACTTCGAGAACAGCTGTGCGGCGCTGGAGGGGGTGCCGCAGACGGCACACCAAGTGTGTGTGTTGACCGCGGGAGAGTGCTTGCGTCTAGAGAGCTGGGGCAGCATGCATCCCCGCGACGTCGCCGGTGCGCCACAAAACGACCAGGTGAAGCTAGATGTAGCACGTGAGGCCTTGTAAGAAGTGGCGGGGGAAAGACACGATAGCCGCGCAGGTCACTGCGTGCGCACCATCCCCACACAGCAGCAGCAGCAGGAGATGGTGAAGATGACACCATTGCAGCAGCGTGGAAAGGTGCAGACACAGAAAACCGGCCGCAAGGCCGTGTGCCCATAGCCGCGACGGAAGGGGCGTGGGGGGGGAATATTCAAAGCATACGGCGAGATGGCCGTGTGCCCACTGCCGCGACGGAAGGGGCGTGGGGGGGCAATATTCAGAGAACACGGCGAGNGTGGCGGGGGAAAGACACGATAGCCGCGCAGGTCACTGCGTGCGCACCATCCCCACACAGCAGCAGCAGCAGGAGATGGTGAAGATGACACCATTGCAGCAGCGTGGAAAGGTGCAGACACAGAAAACCGGCCGCAAGGCCGTGTGCCCATAGCCGCGACGGAAGGGGCGTGGGGGGGGAATATTCAAAGCATACGGCGAGATGGCCGTGTGCCCACTGCCGCGACGGAAGGGGCGTGGGGGGGCAATATTCAGAGAACACGGCGAGATGGTCGTGTGCCCGTAGCCGCGACGGAAGGGGCGCGGGAGGGCAACAAGCAAAACAGCCCCGTGCCGCGCAGCAAGGAGCATGGGGGAGGGCATCATACTTGAACAATAATTGAGGCCCATAGCCGCGACGGAAGGGGCGTGGGGGGGAGGCCGTGTTCACAGAACACGGCGTAATGGCTGTGTGCCCACAGCCGCGACGGGAGGGGCGCGGGAGGGCAACAACCAAACAACGCGGCGGGGGGGCCGTGTGCTCGCAGCCGCGACGGGAGGGGCGCGGGAGGGCAACAACCAAACAACGCGGCGGGGGGGCCGTGTGCTCGCAGCCGCGACGGGAGGGGCGCGGGAGGGCAACAACCAAACAACGCGGCGGGGGGGCCGTGTGCTCGCAGCCGCGACGGGAGGGGCGCGGGAGGGCAACAATCAATGCAGCCCCATACCGCCTCGGGAGGGCGTGGGGGGAAGGCAAACATTAGCCCCGTAGCGCGTCGGACGGGGCGCGAGGGAAAAAAATACAAAAAAACAAAGGCCCCATGGCAGGTCGAACGGGGCCCGAGGGGGGAAAAACTAGGGCTCCATGGCGCGCCGGACGGGGCGCGAGGGAAAATAAATAAATAAACAAAGGCCCCATGGCAGGTCGAACGGGGCCCGAGGGGGGAAAAACTAGGGCTCCATGGCGCGCCGGACGGGGCGCGAGGGAAAATAAATAAATAAACAAAGGCCCCATGGCAGGTCGAACGGGGCCCGAGGGGGGAAAAACTAGGGCTCCATGGCGCGCCGGACGGGGCGCGAGGGAAAATAAATAAATAAACAAAGGCCCCATGGCAGGTCGAACGGGGCCCGAGGGGGGAAAAACTAGGGCCCCATGGCGCGTCGGACGGGGCGTGAGGGGGGGAAATAATCGAAGCAGCCCCGTGCCGCGCTGGAAGGGGCGTGAGGGGGAATCCCGCGGCACGTCGGAAGGGGCGTGGGGGGAGGGTACTTGCATCGTGGTACTAAAACGGGAACTCCTTTTCTGGCGAGGCTACAGGCCGGGCTGGGAGGGGAGCAACACGCATCACAGCAGTGCTGGATTGCCACTTCTTTCTTGACCGTATTTGGTGTTTGATGGTATTCGTAGCGAAGTTGGTAAATCCTCGTTANCCCCATGGCGCGTCGGACGGGGCGTGAGGGGGGGAAATAATCGAAGCAGCCCCGTGCCGCGCTGGAAGGGGCGTGAGGGGGAATCCCGCGGCACGTCGGAAGGGGCGTGGGGGGAGGGTACTTGCATCGTGGTACTAAAACGGGAACTCCTTTTCTGGCGAGGCTACAGGCCGGGCTGGGAGGGGAGCAACACGCATCACAGCAGTGCTGGATTGCCACTTCTTTCTTGACCGTATTTGGTGTTTGATGGTATTCGTAGCGAAGTTGGTAAATCCTCGTTAGTTGTCATGAGTGCACTTTGGTTGAAGAGCCAGGGAGGGTGTTCAGTATTTCTCGAAGGCGTTCGCGTCCACATGTTCAGTATTTCCTGGCAGTCATTCGGTTGAGACCCTCATTGATTGCGGCTAGGTCGTGCAGTTCTCTAGGTTGCGAAATGTGCAGCAATATGGGATACTGTTGGAACCGCTGAAGGAAAGTATGAGGAACAATTACGACACCAGTGTTGTACGTCCACGAGAATAGAGGATTGTCGAAAAATGCATACCGGTAGTCGGCGTCTGGTCGATAAGAAAGTCGAAGGTGGGCATGGTGAAGGTCGACCCGTAAGGCATCGTTCGGTGTAAAATTAAATATAGACTATATGAGAAAGAGGACTGCGTAAAGATCCAGCGGTTTTCGCAGTGGCAAAGAAAAATGCAACCATGTCGCAAAAAATTAAAAAAAAAATACAACACCGCATCTCTGTTGTTGCAGGGAGGTTTGCTTCCACAACCAACCCGGTAACTCAACCTGTTGGGCGGTACCACAGCTGTAGTACGCTGGTTGGCGTATGTGGTAGAGGCTTGGTAGAGAGAACAAAATGAGTGATTTATTATCCACACACAGACGCCTGGACTGTCTGCACCTGACGGTTACAGAAAAACAGAACGCCTTCACAATACCGTATCAAACTCATACAGCAGAATAGAGTCGGTCTTGCACAGCAAACACCCCAACACAACCCACTCTTGTATTTCGGCCTCCAAGTCTCCAATCGACGCAAGCACCGGTAGGCGAGTGCGTGGAAGATGCCGTGACAGCACAACTCCATTCTCCTACGACATCTATGTACAGCAGTAGTACTGCTGTCGTTGTAGCACCATCTCCGAGGGGTCCTGAGCGGTAACGACAACATGGCCAGAGCTCTGCGTGTACTTGTCGTCGACACATGTGGCAGCCGCACGATTCACGCATTGTAGTATGGTCCGCCGTGGCAGGAAGTATCCCATCCAGTTAGGTCGTTGCCACAGTACGCAGACGTCGTCCGGCGTCTATTAGTCCATACTGCTGTAGCAAAAACACAGCAGTTATCGAGCTACGTACGCATGCAATTTTTTGCTGTGGTTGCAGGCAGACTTTTGCCTCCACAACCCGAGAATCCCACTGCTGTATCTCGACCTACAAGACTCCAATCAACAAACCAGCACTGGCAGAGGTGCGTGGAAGATGCCGTGACAGCACAACTAAGTCGACACAGTCGGCGTCTGGTCCATACCGCTGTAGAAATACAACAATCGAGCCGTTTGTTTATTTTTTTCTTCCATACTAATAACAAGAAATGTATCACGTCACGACGACCATCCTGTGAGTCTGTAAGCATGCTGTCCTTCGCTTGAGACATGACTGATTTCCAACACTCCCTCCTCCGTCGAATTCCTAAGAAAATGGTGCCGCACGTCAACGTGCTTGCTGTTACAGGAGCTAAGGGGATTCTGAGATAGTGCAATCGCACTTTCGTTGTCCTCGCGTACCTGGATCTTACCAAGCTTTTCACTATATAGTCTATAGCCTCAAGCACTCGAGCATTCCGTTGACAGACAAAGCCTCTTTTACACAACATCGCAACATGCTCTGCTTCAGTTGTTGAAAGTGTGACACATTTCTGCGTCCGAACCCAAGCAACAAGACAGTCCACTACAAGAACTAGTGCTCCCGAAACTGATCTACGGTCAGTGGCCTTGCTAGCGAAGTCAGCGTCTACATACACCAACGTGCCTAGACGTCTACCATAGCGTCCTGCTTGTACTTCAAAGTAAGATGTGCCGTCTCCAGAAGACAATATAGAATCTTCTGGGCCGGCTTCCAGTGGCTTTTCTCTGGCTCGTGAGAGTGTCTCGCCACCGCCCGCACAGCATTTGAGGTGTCGGGCCTCGTCTGGTGGGCGACCCACATCAGGCTCCCCACCACCTCCCGGAACGGCACATCCCCTGCCTTCTCCTCCTCCATCACGGACGTGTATTCACTAGCAGGGGAAGCAGGGATCAAGCTGGTGCGACAACATTGAATCTCTCGAGAGCACTCCTGACGCAACTCTCTTGAGACATCTCAATCGTGCCAGCCTCGCGGTCGCGACTAAATGCGCGACCAAGAAAGAACTTGACCTCGCCCAAACTCTTCGTGTTAAAAGAGTCACCTAGCGCTTGCACAACTAGCTTGGCATGCCTCTCAATTCCTCCATAAAGAATGTCATCCTGAATCGCGATCATACCCATCAACTCGGTTCTCATCATGAAACGCAGAACACAGGGAGGGGTCAGATAGATTGTTCGACTAGACTAACTAGTCCTCTTCAGGTCCGACAGAAGTCTCTTGTGAAATGTTCTACATGCCTGCCTCAGTCCATCCAAACTTTTGTCTAAACGGACGACCTTCACTGACATCGACTTGTAGCCAGGAGGCAACTTCATGAACACCTCGTGATCCAATTCCGACTGAACAAGCGCTTGCTCAATGTCAAAGTGGAGTAATTCCAAGTTGTACCTGCACGCCAATGCTACCAACAAACGAATCGATGCAGCATTTACAGTAGGCGAGAAAGTCTCAAGATAATTCACACCTTCCGCTTGAAGCCCTTCGCTACAAGCCTAGCCTTGGCCTTCACTGTCTTGCCATTTCATCTGCTTTCCATTTGTAGACCCATCTAGCATCTATCGCGTTACAGCCTATTGGAGCCTTTACTGCCAACGCGAACGTTCCTGCTCTTTACGAGCCTTCAAATTCTGCAGACATGGCCTTATCCCAAATCGTGGATTACTTTGATTGGCGAGCTTTTTGATAGCTACCCGGTTCTGACTCTACGTCCTGAGTGAGCACTTTCGGCAGTTCCATAGTATCAGACGCTCTCTGCTCCACTATGAGTACTTCTACAACTTCAGATGCGGAGATGGGTCCTTGAGTGGCCATGAGGCCGGATACGTTCTGCTGATTCACTGCCCGAGTTTGCGCACGGGTTCTGCCTTCTCGTACCTCAACATTCTCATTCATAACAGTGTTGTAACTATATAATAGCAAGCTCATGCCGCTCACGACGATTGGATGGTACGTGCGTAGCAGGGGGGAGTGTCTCCGATTCTACCACCTGCCCTCCCGGCTCAACCAACTCTTGCTGACCCCCCGACTCTACGTCCTGCCTTCCCGGACCCGCCGATTCTGCCTCCCCTGTCTCCGCCCCCCCCTGCCTTCCTTCATCGGTGAACTCGTCTGCTGGAGAAGACACAGGGGGAGCTGCGCTGCTAGGGGAATTAATCGCGGGCGAAGAGGGCACAGAGGGGGGTTGACCTACACTGCCTGCATCAACACTGCCAACCTCATCGATTGCTCCACCACAGACCGCTACATTACGTCGCAAAATATTGTGGGGAACTCCTCTCCCTAAAAGTGGCCATACCCCAGCTTCAATATCGTCGTCACGTTCCTCCCCTCCCTCCTCTGCGACCTCTATCGGCAAGAGAGACGGTTGCGGTGGAGGGAATTGTGACGGCAATGCCTCCCATGCCACATCCCTCGTTTCTTGGAATAGTTCCAGCCCTCGTATGTACTCTATGACAGTCACGCGGGTGGTCTCTTGAAGGACCGACATAAACACAAGCCTCGCCCTTCGGTAGCAGCTTAGACGGTCGCTGCCACCTACAGTATGTCGGTTTCAAATTTTTGTGACCACGGACCGAGTCTTTGCTAGATTTTGGGATTATTAGCACCTGACACGAGTTTCATGTGAAGAAAAACAACAACAACAACAACAACAACAACAACAACAACTATCCACAAAGAACACACTCGGGGCAATGCACCATCCACGAAGAACATTCCTACAGAACGTTCCTCGCTGTTCTGGTAGTACACCGTCTATGACACAAGACATACCCCCTGGACCAATTTTCAAAGCTCGATTACTCCACCATGAAGAGGATGCATACACGAAACGATACATTTTTGGAAAGCTCTTGAGACGGTTCCAACGCCGCCGTTTTCGGCGTCGTGACTTTTTCTGTTGTTGAGGAATCGAGATTTGAAAATCGGTCTAGTGTGTGTTATCTCGTGTCATTTACGGTATTTATATATCTTATTTTTTTTCTCCCATCATTGTACTCTATCGTCTGCCCCTCTGGCCCCTATCCTCACTTCTAAAGCCGGTCGTCCCGGTGGTGTAGTAGTATCCTCGTACAACCGCTAGTCGCAGAGGTCGTGAGTTCGAATCCCCATGCAGTGAACAATCCACAAAATTTGCCAGTGAAAGCGAAATATAGCTGAAAAGCTCTCGTGAGTACCAAACTTCGACGTTAGCACCATTGTCGAGGGAAAGGGACGGCTGGACCCTTCTCGCCATAAAAAAAAATTCAGCACGCACCGTAGGAGGAAGGTGGGGCATGAAAACAAATAAAAAGAAGAACAACGCCCTGGTGTTCACCCCCTCCTGTGTGACCCTGGATGGTTGTAGTTGTACGAAAAAATACACTCGAAAGTGTAGTACTCTACTACGCTGAAAAGTGTGGTACACGTTTCACAGCGAAAAATGGGAGACTGTCACCATAATAAATACGACGAAAACACAAAACACACAAGCTAGACGACCCAACCGGGGTCACATAGGAGGGGGGGGTTGGACCCCCTCCTGCGGTTCCTGCCTGTGATATTTTTATCGCGAGAAGGGTACATACAGCAATCTCCCTCGCGACTTATGAAGTCGATCAAGTTAACAACGCGCTTTGCAGCGCGACGCTTCCAACGGAGACCAGAAATAATAAGTGAGAAAAATTTCACTCTGTCGGGACTCGAACCCATGACCTGGCCCTCAGTAGGCTGCGAGGTTACCCACTAGGACCACCGGGGCGACCGGGGTTATGTGGCTAGACTACTCAGCGATCTGCAACGCCGACAGTCCCGCACTTCAAACTATCCAATCAAAGTGTTCTACGTTACTCTGTCGACAGACACAGCAGCAACAATCACGAAGAAAGACGGCGGTGTGACGTTGGAAGTCGATCAAAGGCGGTTCGTTCTCCACCTGGTCGCGACGCACGTAAACATGATGGCTCATGTCGTGCCGCTTTTGAAACAGAAAAAGAGCAAAGGTGTGACAACGAATATGCTGTGAAACCCAACCGAGGCTCTTAAGGCAGAGGCAAACAAAGAACGGAAGGTGGGGGGGGGTGTATTCATAGTCGTGCATGCCGTAGTCGTTGGACCATTGACCTCGCATCCCTATGAGGTATTCGGCGAGTCGTATGAACGGAAGGTGGAGCTGAAACAAATCATCAAGCGGATGGACACTCTGCGGGACCTGACACTGGGAATCTTCACAAAAGCCGCTGTGAAGGACACTCTACCTGCAAGTTTCTGGGCTAGAGATAGAAACAAGAACGAGTTGCACGAGTTCGCGGAAAAGGCTGGATCACTGCGACAGATTAGTTTTCTGGGCGGTCTTGAACGTGTCGAACCCTCCCACAGATTGTCCGGCAAATCGTTCAGCGGAGACGTTGTGACAGGGCCTCACTCCGAAGCACCCGACCCACGCCGTGAACGCATGTCCTGGCATGCGAAGCTGAGGGGCATCATCGTGCAATGACATGTGCATATCGATTGGGCCGCTCGGCTAACCTCTTCAAAGCATTTCCCCCGCTATCGAGGCAGGAGAAGCTGTTGGAACGTCACCACAGCCACTGGAACGTCCACCTGAAGTACACTTTGGTAACCTTGATCTGCTGGCAGAAGATGAAACAAGTGCTACCGATGCTGACCTTGTGGGAGAGAAATCGCAAGCGCGACGGTTTGCTGTGAAGCGGTGCCGGATTTTCAACCCCAACTCCGCACCAGTGACGGCGGTTGGGTGTGGGACTCGGGGGACGCTGGCAAGTATGAGAGTCTTCAGCTGGACTCGCTGGACACGAAATACTTCAGCCACTCGCGTATTGGCACGGTGATCTTCGAAAAATTGATAGGGAAAATTTCATGTGGAGAAGCGACGATTAAGACTATTGGAGCCTCAGAGGACATGGTTCAGAACGCGAGGAACCTGCGAGATAAAGCAGCTGCACACAAGAGTGGGGCAGTAGGAGCTTCCATCAAAGAGCGCAGGCAGATGGTCGTTTTAGTGGATCAAAACACCAGAGGAGCGGGAGAAAGCCATGGATATGTTCATGGCAGCTATGGACAAGAACGGGTACCGCCGCCTGATGGACGCCGTCAAGAAGCATGACCCCGACTTCGTCGAGTGGGGGAAGGAACGTCTCGCGAAGGCGAGAAATAGTGGGCCAAGCCCTCTACCGGGTCGGGACGATGTAATCGAAAGGCCCGACGACGGTCGCTCTGAAGACCACCTGTACGGTAGCACCAGCGACGAGATTGAGCACGGACAGCAAAGGGCTAGGGAACTCATGGCGAATCTGGAAAAGGATTGTTTCACCTGTGAAGATATCTCCATTTTCAGCGTGTCTCTGGCACTGGCCTCCCTGTTCGGAGCAGCCTGTCTTCGCACCTAGACTTTTTCTGGATGGTGGCCAGTAAAATGTACTACGAATTAATCAAAGGAGAAGACGCTAACGATGCCAAGCATGGGAGGAGCATGATTCTGCTACCGGATGAATCAAAGCAGACGTCGGACGCCGAGAAAAAGGCCGCGAGGGCTTGTATGGAACACAAAATAGAGGGTGCGGAGGTCGTGGAGTGGTGGGTAGTGATGGCCCTGGTTGGGCGACCGTTTCTCAAGAAACACAACGACGGGCATTTGGACACACGTTTCGGTCCACTGGGAACGGATGAAGAGGTTTTGAGCAAAGACGTGTTTGGTGTCGTGGTGGACTCGATCGGAAAGGCGTTTTCGCCACGGGGAATGCGGACATCAACGAATTCGGACCGTGCAACAGTCGCTGGCCACCGATCATATGCTAGGACTGGGGATCCCGCAGAACTCCTGTGCTAAGAGTGATATATGCAGTGTGGTACCATTACCAGCTGTATATATCTCGTTGTGTCTTTTGTTCTCTCGAATTGACTCCGGGGGATACGGGATGGGAACGGGGATGTCGCGCGCCCAGCGGCGGATGGAAGAGGTGATCTCGGACCAGCGGGTGAACGCTTGGAGCTCGGTGAACAGCCGCATGTGGTGGGTGGTGATGGGATGTTTTCCGCCGAAGTTAGAGAAGCCGAGCCTGCAAGGGTTAATGCATGATAGTATTGAGGTCACGGACGAGGTAGTCGGCATGCTCTTGAACTTCCGTGGCTTTGACCCTGCTGCATTCGCGCCCCGGGGGGCGGGTGGCGAACGTTTCCCCATCGCAACGCATTTCGGCCTCATGGCGGGGGTTTTTATCACCATCGCCCGCCGGGGGATCGCCGACGAACCGAGGTTGGCGGCGGCATCGAAAGCGCAAGTGGATCGTGTCGAAGCCTCGTTCCAGGCGGCCATCGCCGACGTGGAGCGGCACACTCGGGAGAACAAGTGCCGCACAACCGTGACATCTTTTTGACGTTCATCGTCAAAGATATGGAATTTTACACGCGCGACGTACAGATGTTCGCGAACGAGATGCAGCGGCGCTTCGTTCTCCCTCCGCCATCGGACGCTATCCCGCCCCCCCCCTTCCCGGCTTTCCCAAACCTCGCGGCGTATCTCCGGTCGGGAGGGCTGATCAATTCTGCTGTGCAAGGCAAGGCCGGCCGTTCGTCGGCCGCCGCAGCGGGTGCCGGGGGGAAGGGCAGCAAGGCCAAGGACCAGGGGCCGTGCTACCAGTTCCAGAGAGACGGTACATGTCGGTGGGGGAAAGACTGCAAGTTCGCGCATGTGGCGCCACGGAAGGCCGACGGAAAGGGAGGAAAAAGGGGGGACATGACTGGCGGCGGCGCCGAGGAGGGCGGCTCCAAAGGTAGCCCCTCCACCGTTGCCGACACCAACGCCCCTGCCGCCGCCGCCCCAGCGAAGCGGACCAAGGTGGGAATGGCCGGGACGAAGACTCGCAGCAGTGCGAAGGGCGGTGCCGGCGGCGGCGCGAAGGACGATGATGAGGAATAGGGGCGCGGACCCTGCCCCCCGGGGGGGGGAAGGGCCGTCTTTCGATGTCGCCGGCGGCGTGGTCTCGGGTCCGAGCACGCACCTCCTACGACCAGGGGCGGCTACTGCGTTGACCCGAGGTGGGGTTGGTATTTTAGATGGCAATGATGTTAGGCGTATTGTTTCCATGGTACATGCTATGTCTCAGACCGTCGCGCAAGGCACACCACGTGCAACCGTACTTGCTCAGATCGCGGTGAAGTGTTTTCGGTTTTTGTCTCGGCATGGGGGCAGCTTTGAATGCATGAAAGCCATCGAAAACGGCATCGGGGTGCCGCGGGTACGGCCTGAATTTATTCGGTTTTGGTTTGGACGCTTGAAGGGTTTTCCTCACACAGAGACTGTCGCTGCTATCGTGGAACGTGGCGCCGTAGTGCCCGTGTGTGGGTCTGCCGAAATCACAGCAGCGCTATCGTATGGTAACCACCGGAGTGTCGTCCCACGTTCTGACACTATTCTCCAGAAAGTGTTTGATGACGTGGGGTTCGGGCGGGCGTTCGTGTTTCCAAAGACAGGGGCAGAATCGATCCCGGGGTTGCGGTTGTCGCCGCTAGGTGTAGTCGTGTCGCCTGAGAAAATTCGGATTATCCATGACTTGACGTTTGAATGCTCACCCGTGTCGCGTCGTGTCAATGCCGACACGGATTCAGAGGCGGCGCCGAAAGTCGAGTTAGGTCACGTGTTGCGGGACATCGTGTGGCGCATTTTATGGTTGCGGAGGACGTACGGACCATCGGCTCGGATTGTGTTAGGCAAAACTGACGTGACGGACGCGTTTCGACAGGTTGCGGTTCAATGGTCGGGAGCTACCGTGTTTGGCTACTCAGTTGGGGACCTTGTCGTGGTAGATCGGCGCTTGGTGTTTGGGTGGCGCAATTCGCTTGGCAATTTTGTGTCATGACTGCCGCGTTGGAGCACTCTCACAATCACACGTCTGTGGATAATGCAGTGGTCACTGAGCTTGGCCGGACGGCTACGAACCATGTTGAGGTTCCGTTACCTAGCGAACGAGAGACGCCACCCCCATTCCCCCCTGGGTGTCGCATCCCCCCCGGTTCGGGGGGCGGTCGTTCTGACTCGTTTTCGGTGCGGTTCTATGTCGACGATGGTATTCTTGTGGAAGTGATGTGAAGCCCGACTGGGGACCGGTGTAAAGTAGCTTTCGCGTCGTGTGCATCGGACCACTTCCGGGTGTTTGGGGCGCGGGGGTCAAGGGACCCTCCCTTGTTGTCTACGCGTAAACTTTCCTCGTGGCGCACAAGGTTGTGTGTGCTAGGGTGGGACATTGATACGGTGGCTATGACCATTTCGGTTCCCACAGACAAGCTGGAACGCCTACGGGCGACAATCCGCAAGTGGCCTCCCACGCGCTGCTTTGCCTCTGAGTCCGAGTTGCGGGGGGTGATTGGTTCGTTATTGCATATCTGTGAGGTCGTGCGGCCTGGTAAATACTTTGTTCGCCGCATGCTCAACCAGTTGGAGCTACCGCCGGTGCAATTGACCACCCCGGGGGCGACACGGAAACGAATCGGTCCCGAGTTTCATGCTGACATGCAGTTTTGGCGTCTGTTGGTCGAAGGGGGCCTGGGGTCGCCGTCGCAGTTGTTAACAGCCCCACTTGTGTGTTTTTTTCGATCAACCATATTCGTGTCTTTTGTGGTCGGACGCATGTGGAGATGCGATGGGAGGGTACTTCTTGCATGCCGAATTCCAGTCGGGAGTGTGGTGGCGTTTTGACTCTAGTCAGGAAGTACGGGAGAGGTTTCGCCAGCAGGTCCAGGGGCGCGACGATCTGAGCGTCAACATAATCGAACTCCTCGCGATGGTAGTTGGCGCCTGGGTGTTCATTGTACAATCGGACATGAGGCCAGAGTACGCCCGCAATAGCATCCGTATGATGGGAGACAATTCGTCGAGTGTCGCGTGGGTGAACACGTGTCGGGGGGGGAGCGAGCTCCGATCGGGGGCACTCATGCGTATGCTAGGATGTTTGGAGATGGGCAGCGGATGTTGTTTTGAGGCGGCTCATGTTCGGGGGGTCGATAACACGATTGCAGATGGTATTTCACAATGGGAGCCGGCGACCAGTGACGCTCGTCTTCGCCTGTCCCGTCCCCAATGTCGCCTGGTGCCAACAGGTCTTGAGCCCGGAGGTCGCCGATCTTTGTACCGGCGTCTTAGCGGCGAGTACGTCCGATAGTCAGTTGCGCAGTCGTCTCGAAGAACTTACCTGTCGGGTTGGCGGGCNCAATGGGAGCCGGCGACCAGTGACGCTCGTCTTCGCCTGTCCCGTCCCCAATGTCGCCTGGTGCCAACAGGTCTTGAGCCCGGAGGTCGCCGATCTTTGTACCGGCGTCTTAGCGGCGAGTACGTCCGATAGTCAGTTGCGCAGTCGTCTCGAAGAACTTACCTGTCGGGTTGGCGGGCTTGGTGTGCTTTTCGCCGCATGGTTGGCGAGTCGGAGTACCTCTCGGGGGACGCGGAGGGGGCTGGGCTGGAACAAGCACTTTTGGAGTTTGTGGCGTGGTGTTGTGCAGATAAGGGTAATGTTGCACCAACCATATCCGGCAAGCTCGCCGCGGTACAGTACTTTCGTCGAGTTGACAAGCAGCTTGAGTTGCCTGCCGGTGCGCCTCTTATCAAACGGAGTTTGTTGGGTGTCGCACGTGTTCACGTTCGCGCGGGTGCAAAGAGTCGGAGTCGGGTTCCCGTCTCGTGGGAGACATTGTTGGAAGGACAGCAGTTGACGGCGTCGTGGGGTACAGGTGGCCGCGTGTTGTGGCTGTGTTTGGCGTTGTCGTAATCCCTGGTGGCGCGTTCGGACGAGGTTTTTGCCACAACTGTCGGGGCAATGCCACCAGGTGCATTGTTTGCGGCGTAGTGACGTCGAATTCTTTGATGGGGAGGACGTTCTAGCCCAGTTGCACTGGCACCAGGCCACAGGAGTTCGGGTTCGGTTTCGCGGCCACGAGGGGGAACAGTCGGAGAAGGGGGCGTGCGTTACACGAGTGCGCGAAGTAGCACGAGGCGCGAGTTCTCAGATTGGAGCCGGTGGCGGTGCCGTGGCGGTGTTGGTGGAATTGATGGCGTGCCATCTCGCGTTACCTGAGGACGCTCCTCTGTGTTCGTTTCGCTGTAGGAGGAGCAAGACGATTACGGTTGGGGATATTCCAAATCTCTTAGCGCCCTTCGCCAGATTGTGGAGAAGACAGGTGGCGACCCGAAACAGGTTGGCCTGCATTCGTTGAGAATCGGGGCCGCCACCACGTTGGCAGCAGGAGGAGACCTACCGGACAGAATTATACGGAGAGAGGGTAGATGGAAGGAAGGCTCGGGTACGTTCAAAATATATACTAGGAATAATATGGTGGACGTAGACACGGTATCCCGTAAACTAACGAAGAGGAAGAAGACTGAGCAGAAGAAGGGTTAGCATACACGAAGGTACGGGCAAGGGGACAGAATGCCATCCCACTAAACGTCGATGTTGGTGGATGTCAATGGTATGGAGTACCATTGGGGGGTCTCGGTGTACTGAGACGGCATTTTGTTTGGACCTGCCAGTTGACATGGAAGGAGAACTTGGACTCTGGAGGAGAGAGGGAAGCGACTATTGTCGTCCCCTCGTTATTGGCCAGAGAATTACCTTCCAGACTTCGTGGAAAATAATAATAAAATTGACACTTCGGAAAAATACAATATAGCGAGTATTTCAGATGGATCTAATCTGAGGGGGGAGGAGTCTGAAATTGGTGTTTATTGGAGTTGATGAGAAGTGAGAATTTATTGTTATGTGCCAAAGAGGATGTCTGCGTGCGTATAGAAGAGGAGGCATGCGCACCGAGAGAAGGCAGCTGCTCGCAGGCCATTCTGTTTGCGCCCGATCACGTTGAAGCATCATCAATGCTGGAGCNGGGGGGGGGGGGGGGGGGGGGGGGGGGGGGGGGGGGGGGGGGGGGGGGGGGGGGGGGGGGGGGGGGGGGGGGGGGGGGGGGGGGGGGGGGGGGGGGGCGATGACTAGGGTATGTATTCCGGGAGGATACATATATATAGAAGGGACATGTCGATTGATGATTGCTATTATTGCACGGGGAACTGGGGTATGAGGGTCTGATTGGGGAGGTGGATGTCAATGAATGGTATGGAGTACCATTGGACGACAACACTAGCTCCCCGGAACAGAACGTCTTCACAGGTAGTAGCTGGCAGTGTTGTCCACTCGTACGTTTAGCAGTCCCTGTGCTCCAGCACTGATGATGCTTCAACGTGATCGGGCGCAAACAGAATGGCCTGCGAGCAGCTGCCTTCTCTCGGTGCGCATGCCTCCTCTTCTATACGCACGCAGACATCCTCTTTGGCACACAACAATACATACTCACTTCTCATCAACTCCAATACAGTCGAGGGACCCTTTTAGTGCCGGTTGAATAGTGCCAGATGCCCGGTATAGTGCCGGTAAAATCTCTGCACACAGGCGGAGCTCTCAATAGTGCCAGACCGGCACTAATTAAAGCATGCCCGATATAGTGCCGGTTCGGCACTGCTGTCACCCCCAATAGTGCCGGTACTCCGCACGCGCGAAACACACACACGCACAACCGCATTGCGCATTTTTCGAGTTTTGGCCTCCTTCCAGGGACCTTGATTTTTACCCGCTGGCACTGACGCCTTTTAATTTGTCAGCCGGTTAGCGCGGTCGATCCTAATAATAAAAACACACGCACAACCCAGGGCAGAAAACATAGACTCCACACACAGAAATAGGGTACACGTGCTGCTGCAGACCCGAACAGCTCTACACAGGGGCGTACCATGCCCTGTGCGGAAGGTGAACTGTGCCAACTACAGGACACCACGCCGCAAGACCCTCATGGTCACGGCTGCCAGGGAGGATGTGGCGGGCGACTGCACGGCATTTGCGGCAGTGTGGTTGATGTAGGCAACGAGAATCACCGCATCTGCAGCGCGTGCGTCGCCAAAGCCGGCAAGCGCAAAGTGTCAGCAGCAGACAGCACTGGGAAGGCACAATCTAAACGTCCGAAGGCCACGAATGGGGGGAGTAACAAGTCTCAGCCTCGTGCGCGGCTAGATTTCAGCGCCAAGTGTGAGATGCCGAAGCTGATGGATCAGAAGGTGACTCATGAGCAGCTAGCAGATCGCTTCAAGTGCTCGGAACGGTTGGTCCGGGATGTGAAGAA